TGGACGGGAGTGGGGGAGAGAAAGAGAGAAACATCCATGTGAGAGAGACATATCGATGGGTTGCCTCCCCCATGCACCCCAACTGTGGCTGAGGATCAAACCGGCAACCCAGGTACATGCCCGTGACCCGGAATCAAATCCACGACCCTTTGGTGCCGGGGCCAGACACCCTAACCGCTGAGCCACACCAGCCAGGGCTGTTTTCCTCCTGGTCTTTATCAACTTCTCACGGGCTCTGGGATGTATTTATTTGGCTAATCATCTCTCTCCCCCACAGTTTCCAAGACAGAGACGTGTATCTGTCTTGCTCACCGACGTCTCCCCAATACCAAGAAAGACGGCTGGCAGGCAGTAAGCCATCAATAAACATGCGGTGAAGGAGTGAGTGAGCAGAGACGCCGGCACAGCTTCTCATTTCCACCCTCCCTCCTTCCCTTCTCAGTGAAAAACCACTCTGTCTTTTATTTCTTTGTAATATATTTTTGCTGATTTCAGAGAGGAAGGGAGAGGAAGAGAGAGATAGAAAGACACATCAATGATGAGAGTCATTGATCAGCTGCCTCCTGCACGCCCCCTACTGGGGATCGAGCCCTCAACCCAGGCATGTGCCCTTGACCAGAATCGAACCTGGGACCCTTCAGTCCCCAGGCCGATGCTCTATCCACTGAGTCAAACCAGCCAGGGCCACTCTGGGTTTTTTTTTATAAAACAATCCGTGCTTCTTGTGTCAGTCAGAATAAGGGAGGTTATGGTGCAGTAACAACATGTCCCACTCAGGAGTGGGTAGGGGGTGAGTGGTTAGAGGGAAACTTGGGGATCATCGGTGATTGCAGCTGGAAGAGGAAAGAGACCTGGACGCCCGCAGCTGGGTCGGGAGCTCCGGCAGGTGCTGCACGCGGGTGATAAGCACGGGGCTCCCGGGGGGCCTCGGAATGAAGGAAGAGCTGAGTCAAAGTTCAAAAGAGCCCTCCAGCTTCAGGGAAGTCTGCTGCAAAACACCGCACCCTTCCTTAGCAACGTCGTGCATTTCAAGGAACACAGGCTCCTTCGAGCATTTAGGACGAAAAAGGAAATTGTTGACAAGGAGGCGGCTCTGCGGGCTCGACGCCCCCACAGCAGCCTCCCAGCGGCGGTTCCGGTTCCGAGGGAAAGCCTGGCTCCAGGACGCTGTCTGCAAATCCGGCAGAAACCGCTTCTCGAGCGCCCACCTGGGCCTCGTGGAAAACAATGTAAATAAATGACAAGAACACCGGGCAGGAGGGAGCTGGTGGGCAGCCAAGCCACTCGCCCAGGCAGCCGGGAGGGCACGGTTCTGAGACTGAAGCCTCGGAGGACGGGGGACGTCGTCACCCAGACGTGTCAGGCGAGACCAGGGCACTGAGGAGGCAGGGGGGCCGGAGGGAGGCGGGAGGGGAGGGGCCCGACTCCATCCTTCGCTGCAGGGAACTGACGGAGCAAAAGCGGAGGCAGAGGAACACCCAGCACCTCTGCCTCTCAAGGCTTCTCAGAGTCTCCTCCCCCTTCCTCTCTGAAATCAATAAAAATATAAAATAAATTGTAAATGAGTCTCCTTCTCACCAGAGAGCGATCGATCTCTGCTGCTTGAAGTTCAGCTATTCCTTCCATTTCTTCTCCGTTTCACCCGCAGGACGGGCCCTGGCGCGCACTGGCCTGTCCCGTCCTCACCATGACCCTGGGCCGGTGCTGTCCCTGGCTCCATTGTACAGATGAGGGAACTGAGGCCCGGCGTGGGGACGGTGCGGGGCCTCGCTGGGTGAGGCGAGGGAGCCAGGCCTCCCACTC